GGCACCCTGTGCCAGCGCCTCAGCACCCTCACAGGAAAGAGCTTCTGCCTCAGAGCTCATCTCAGTCTCCCCTCTGGCAAGTTCAAGCCATTGCCCTTGTCCTGTCCCTCCAGGCCCTTGTCCAAAGCCCCTCTCCAGGTTTCCTGCAGCCCCTTTAGGCACTGGAGCTGCTCTGAGGTGTCCCCTTCAGGAGCCTTCTCTTCTCCAGCTGCCCCAGCCCAGCTCTCTCAGCCTGGCTCCAGAGCAGAGCTGCTCCAGCCCTCGCAGCAGCTCTGTGGCCTCCTCTGACTTTTTATTGTTCCAAGTGCAAATTACTTTATACTTTTAAATTAGAGGAATGTGGGGTCTTGTGGGTTTGATGTTGTCCATGTGCCATCATTTCTGCTCCAGCAAACTGATACTTGCATGTTCCTTGCTGCCTGGCTTATCTTATTGCAAGAGATTTTGGAACCAGATGCCCTACAGTACCTTTTCTTTTCTTGGCTCTTCTTGACACAAATTAATTTGTGTTGTTACCTTTTCCAAAGAAAGAGCAGTACTGGAAGGGTGACACATGTGTCCTGAGGGTCTCTTTATATGGCATTACTCTGTGAGCAGCCTGCTTGAAGCCACCTCTGTAAAAATAGTTGTGTCAGGCAGCACTTTTCATTGCAATCTGTAGCATCAAAGGTCAGGGGAGCGGTTGGTCTTAAAATAGCACCTTGTTTGCTTGATCATTCACTTTATTTCTTAGGCTGAACAGCTCGTGTAGCTTAGGCTGGAAGGTAGCAAAAGGACATCCTGGCCTTGGGCTAAACCTCTGGATTTCATTCCAGTTTGCAGATGATGTGACAGAATAGGGTTTTTTTTAGTTATTAATTACTTTTTTTTCCCTGACTCTCTCTTTTCCAGGAAGTGGGATATCAGCATGGGAAAACTGTATTTAATGTCTGGTGCAGGAGTGGAGTCCTTGACAAGATGCTAAGAGACAGGCAAGAGACTCGCAAGTCCAAAACTGATGTGAGTGTTGGGTTTTAATGCACTACTTATTCACACCAGATTGTGTGCTGCACAGCAGCTGCCATGGGGTATGGGTACAATGACTGATGGCCTCCAGCCTGTATTGTGAGCAGGCTTGCATTAGCTACAACTGTATTTGAGGCAAGAGAGAAGATACCAGCTTTTCAAACTACTTTCCTTGAACCATAGCCTGGATGAATGAGGCCTTGCACTTCTCCAGCCATCAGCTACAAGTGTGGTCAAAGTGGGCTCTTTCCACAGCCCAGGCTCTGATGTCTGCCTGTACAGACCTCAACAAGTGCAATGGGGTCTTGGAAACCCCAGGAATTGATTTGCACTCCATAGGGCAGCTCTTCTGTTGCTGTGTCATTCTAATAGGATCTTGATAACTGTTTGAAACCTGGCACCATTCACAGCACAGATATCCTCGAAGGAGTTGTAGAATCCCAGACTGGCTTGGGTGGGAAGGGACCTTAAAGCTCATCCAGCTCCACCCCCTGACGCAGGCAGGGACACCTTCCACTAGAGCAGGTTGCTCCAAGCCCCTGTGTCCAACCTGGCCTTGAACACTGCCAGGGATGGGGCAGCCACAGCTTCTCTGGGCACCCTATGCTGGTGTCTCACCACCAAGCAGGATGTTCACCAATCACCAGCATTCTCTGATATGTGTAACTGATGTGTACGTGTTTACATGCCTGCTTTTCACTTCTTCTTCCCCGTGTGTGTCAGCAGTCCTTGTCACAGAGGACACAAATTGGGATCACTGGCACTGATCTTGGCCATTGCTGGCTTTCAGGATGTGACTCAGAGTTCTCAGATCTTTCCTTGACTTAAACCCTTGCTGGAGATGTGGTTTTAGCCAAGAGCTAAAACCCTGCAAGGCTGTAGACTTCTTGCTTTGTTGCTTTTCTTCCTCACTCCTCTACTAGAAAAGGCATTTTGAGGAGCCATCATACAGCCTTTACAGCAGCTTGCAGTGCTGTCAAGGTGCTGGCTTTCATGCCTCTTGTTTTGCCTACTTCAGCCCATCCAAGCAGTTAATGGCACATTATGATCATGGTAAACCTACAGGCCACATGGTGTTGCTGTGTGGTTTTAGTCCCATTAAGATGTCTACTCAAAAGTGGGATTAGAATCTCTTGGTTTTACAGTTTAAGGATTGAGGTCAGGCTCTAGTGTTGGTTTTAACTCAGTGGGCTGGCTGAACTTCTTAGTGGGGAAGTTTCAGTTGTTTTTATGAAACAGTTACCACCTTTTTGAGGACTTGGATACAGTATTATAATATATTGGCATATTAGCCTTATATGCCTTTGCATTCCTCTGATTTAAAACCCAAGTGCTATACAGGCTTCGTGTTTCACCCAGTAATTCCTCTTTATCATCTTCTACAGCTGGGGAAATGAGCAGTAATATTTTAAGTGCTTGCCAAAATGTATTATAACTGTAGTGAGCCTTCACTACGGAAAGTCAATAGAGGTGAAAAATGACGTTGAGGTTTTGCAGCTCTTCCAGAGATGGGTGGTAGAACATTTGGCTGGAAGTGAGCTGGCATGAGGAAGAGCAGTGCTTGCAGACACAGACATTAGCCCAGCAATGAGGGGTAGATGACACCCACATCCGAGCTGGTTCCACTTAGGCACCCATTTGTCACCTCCGTAGGGTGTGAGTCACTCGATGAAGTGGAAATGGCTCTACTGGGATAAGATGAATGGCACCCTCAGCTCCCCTGTGTGAAGGAAGCCAAGGGGACTAGCACTGGTGACTTGCTGTCATCAGACCAGTCCCACCCAAAGGGCCTGGCAGGGTGAGTGGCTTTGGGAGGAGCACACAGGGACTGAGCTTTGTGGAAAACCAGCTGGTGATCCAAGTACCCTGAGGAGTCTCAAAACTTGTTATTTCTTACCGGGAGATGACCTGGACTAGGAGATACTTTAGTCTGTGCTGCAGAAGGTGGGTCCCCATCCTGCCTCTGACAGCTTGTGTTCAGACTAGTTATAAGCTGATACGTGTTTGATTTTGTGTATTAATAGTCATAAGGAGAAGTCAAGGGAGAGAAAATCGTGTTTGTCACAGAAATGGTTTCATGTTCTTACTTTATAGACTCCCAGCGTGGTTTGTGTTGGAAGGAACCTTAAAGCTCATCCAGTCCCAACCCCTGCCATGGGCAGGGACACCTTCCACTAGAGCAGGTTGCTCCAAGCCCCTGTGTCCAACCTGGCCTTGAACACTGCCAGGGATGGGGCAGCCACAGCTTCTCTGGGCACCCTGTGCCAGTGCCTCAGCACCCTCCCAGGGAAGAACTTCTGCCTCAGAGCTCATCTCAATCTCCCCTCTGGCAGGTTCAAGCCTCAAGCCATTGCCCTTGTCCCTGTCCCTCCAGGCCCTTGTCCAAAGCCCCTCTCTAGGTTTCCTGGAGCCCCTTTAGGCACTGGAGCTGCTCTAAGGTGTCCCCTTCAGGAACCTTCTCTTCTCCAGGCTGAACCAGCCCAGCTCTCTCAGCCTCTAATTTCATCCTGTAATTTTTATCACAAGCTGGTAACAAGCTTGAACATATTCATTGTTGCAACAAATGCTTCTTTTTAAAACAACCTCTTTAAAAAATGGTCCATTACGTGAGATACAGAAATTCAGGCTGGTATTTCAGTTGAATCATGGTGTTACAGCCGTGCTTCAACCAGCACATTGAACATTTGTCACAGTTTATCCTACTTTATAAAACCCAAGGGCCCTTCACCTGCCCTGGAGATCAAATATGTCATGTACTCCCTGTAGATGTAGCCTGTCATTGCATTTCTGTGTGTGCACTTGGTACCAAGGCAGGAAGTGTTCACTGCTTTTTTCCTCTGACTTTTGTTTCAGTAGACTTTAGTTTTAACAGCAAGTTCTGCAGCTCCCACTGGGGTGGCTGTCTCTTTTTTGGTAGTCCATTAGAGGCAGTTAAGTCCTTTAGCTCTGCTGTCTTCCCAGGGTAACAGCTGATATTTTTAACTTGCCTTTCATTAGCAAAGGTTTTGATGCTTTATATATTTTAGTTCTTCAGCTATTTCCGGAGCGTTCGACGTCTGAGAGAGCTGAGCAGTTTCTTATCATCTTGTTTCCATGTTGTAAGCATGGAATTTTTACCTAAAAACTCCAGTATTTAATCACTGAGATACTTTTCCTTTGCTTTCATCATTCAATCCCTTTTATCTTGTCTCCAAAATGTAAACACTGAAGACACAAGTGACAGGAGCGTTACATAAACTTCACTTGAACGGCCCTTACTCTGTCCCAGCACAGAATAATTCAGTGCTGTTAATTGGATCTCCTTGGGGAGGTTTTGTCTACTGAAGTGTTATTCATAGTCAAAGTTAAATATAATCCAGCAGACTACAGTAGGAACTGTCTTCTCCAATTTATTTAATAAAGATGGTACCAAAGAGGATAGTTTCAGCCTTGGAAAACGAAAATATCAGCAGAAAGGATTTGGAGTAGGTTTCAAAGGAATCTGGGACACTTCTTTGCCTGGTGCTGACTGATGGAGTGTGGTTTGGTCCTTAAAAGTAGTAAGAGGACGTGCTTAAACATTGAATTCCTGTCTGCAAATCGTCAGATGAGTGTGGGAAGGCACCTGGTTTCCCAGGAGTGGTTCCAGTCTCAGTGCTGAGACTTTGGGGTGCAACTGCCTCATCCTCCAGCACACCTACCTACACGGGGGATTATCTGTGTGACAGTGACGGATGCTCCCACTGGTATGGTCACACTTGGGATTGCTTCCTACCCACGTGAGCTGATGGTGGTTCTCCTGAAGTACCTTTTGGTGACAGTGGCTGCAGGACTTTGCTCAGACAGTGCCATCCCCTCCAGAGCTGCTCCCTGCTCCCAAGGCCAGCTCAGCCTGCTCCTGACAGGTCAAGCACGTGTCTGCCTGAGCACTCTGTGCAGTCACTTTGCTTGGTAAGAGTCTGTGTTTCTGGAGCCGCAGCCGCCAAGGTGCTGTGTCTCTTGGCCAGAGTTTGCACATAACCCCTGTGCACAGTCACATGGCACAAAGTGAAGATGTAGATGCCTTTTTCCCCTATCCTGGGGAACAGCCTTCTGCAAACACCTCACTGGGAGCATTCAGGTCAGATGTTGAAAATGAGACTGGTCTGACTTGCCCTCTTGATGATTCCTTAATGGTCATACTGAGCTCTCTGCCTTCTTTATGTTTTAAAGCATGTGTCCTGCTGCTGTTTCATTCCATACAGGTATGTTTAATTCCCTCCGGGCTTTTCTCTGTGCCCTGCTTCCCACCAGCTGTTTGTCCTGGATCCAAACTTTGCTGTAGCTGTACTAAATCACATCAAAAGTTAACTGTGGATTAAAGGTCAACTGAGAGCAATCTGCTGTAGCTGTAATGGGCTTCTGCTGTGACCCCCACAGAGGCTGCATGATTCATAGTGTCAGTGCTCTTGCCAGAAGAGCAAAGAATTGCTCATAAAACCCCTGTGTAAGCAAACTGCCCTGTCTGGAAGCACATGAGCAGGTCTAGGTGTTCAGAAAAATGACTGTTGCAGCAATTCCCAGCAGCCCAGTGTTGATGATATAGAATCAGACTGGTTTGGGTTGGAAGGGACCTTAAAGCTCCTCCAGTTCCAACCCCTGCCATGGGCAGGGACACCTTCCACTAGAGCAGGTTGCTCCAAGCCCCTGTGTCCAACCTGGCCTTGAACACTGCCAGGGATGGGGCAGCCACAGCTTCTCTGGGCACCCTGTGCCAGCACCTCAGCACCCTCCCAGGGAAGAACTTCTGCATCAGAGCTCATCTCAGTCTCCCCTCTGGCAGGTTACAGCCATTGCCCTTGTCCTGTCCCTCCAGGCCCTTGTCCAAAGCCCCTCTCCAGGTTTCCTGGATCCCCTTTAGGCACTGGAGCTGCTCTAAGGTGTCCCCTTCAGGAGCCTTCTCTTCTCCAGCTGCCCCAGCCCAGCTCTCTCAGCCTGGCTCCAGAGCAGAGCTGCTCCAGCCCTAGCAGCAGCTCCGGGGCCTCCTCTGGCCTCGCTCCAGCAGCTCCACGTCCCCCTTGTGCTGTTCCCCAGAGCTGGATCAGGGCTGCAGGGGGGGTCTCCTCAGAGCACAGCAGAGGGGCAGGATCCCCTCCCTGACCTGCTGCTCATGCTCTGGGGGTGCAGCCCAGCACACGGGAGGGTTCTGGGCTCAAGCGCACATTGAAGCCGGGTCATGGGGAGCTTCTCATCAATAACACCCCCAAGTCCTTCTCCTCAGGGCTGTCCCTGCCAGCAGTTCCCCATCTCTCTGCTCTGGGGTGGGGGTTACTATTGTACTAACTAAAATCACTAGGTTTAAAGGTGAGAGTTGTTCAGGTTTCCATCCTGTGACCTTGTGCCTGGCCCTGCAGGGTCAGGTAGGGCTGCTCAGGGCATAGGACATGGGAAGACCAAAACGGTTCTTAAATGCCAAAGTTGTGTTTTATTAGAGGAGAAATGGAGCAGGCATCTTCTCAAAACAGAGAACACTGAACCCACTGCTCAGGTGAGACAGAGTAAGAACAGAAGGGGTTTGTTGAAAAGAAGAATTACAGTGAGAAATATCTCTCACTGCGGGTGAACCACCTACCTCAGGCTCTTGGTCACTGCAGCACGTCCAGCTCCACAGCTCGCTGGGGTCCCCGCATGGGTTCTTGTCACCCCAGTGCTTGGGCTGCTCCACTGGTCCATGCAGCCTCTCACAGCATCTCTGCAGGCTGGACCATGTGCAGGGTCTGACCTGAGCCCTTCTACTGCCAAGGGAAGGCAAAAGCTCCCTGGGCTGCAATTGGGCCAGTCAGTCCCTCTTGTGGGAATGAGCAAGTCAAATGAGCACTGTCTGTCCTGGACCAGACCCTCCTGTTCTTGTCTTCGTGATCTTTTCTATAGTTTGCTGAATTTTCAATAAGGCTTCTTGTTGCATGGATGGAGAAAGAGCCATTAGAGGTTGTCCCACTCTTTGCACTTGGGAATCCCATCTCTGCCACCAGGAGAGTTGTTCTGGGAATTACTCACTGATGAGTAATGGCTTTTGCGGGGGCAACTGGAGAATTTGTGTGTCTGGAGCTTTGTCTGTGCAGTATCGTGTTCATACAGTTCTGACTTGTTTGCGTTTTCACGCGTGTTTGTTACCATACCTGAGTCCTGTCACTGTCTTTCAGAACGTGACCTGTCCCACCACCTCCTTCACGGACCTGGCAGAAATTGTGTCCCGGATCGAGCCCGTGAAGGCACCGGTGGCAGATGGTGAGTGGGGTGATCCCAGCAGCACCGCGGGAGAGTTGGGAAGCATTGGGAAGGGCAGAGGTGGCTGCTCACCCTCTGACTGCTTCACGGCCCCAGGCTCTAAGCTGTGGTGGTTCAGGGCTGGCTGCCAGCTCCGGGCACTGCTGAGTACAGCCAGCAGTGAGCCCGAGGTGTGCCTGAGCTTGCTCCAGGCCAGACCCTCCACGTCCCCCTCAGGCAGAGTCAGATGTTCTTGCCATGGTGGACATCCTCTGTCAGCCCATTACCAGTGTGGTCCAGTGCAGTTTCCTGGTGGGAGCAATCCCTGCTCCAGTTTGCATCACCTGAGTGGAATAACATGTGTGGCAACTCCTGCAAAGACGAGCTTTCACCCCCCTGTGCTGGGCCATGTCTCTCTGGTGGCTTCACTCTTGCATCCATGTCCTTCTGGCATGGGAGGAGGCTGATTTAAAGCTTGGACTGAAGGGATTTTCCCTGCTGTCGTGAGCAGGATCTGGAGTGACTCACTGCCTCCAATGCTTTCTGTATGCTCCTGTTATGGGGAGCTCTAGTGAACTACTGAGGATCAGGTAACAGCTCCTGCATCTTTCCATGAAGGTACATTGAGTGCCTCGTGCCTCATCCATGGCCTGTGCTATACAGGAACTTAACTGGAATGATGAAAGCTTCCCAGGCCTGAAATTTCCAGTGCTAGAGCTCTTTATAAACAGTCTGTCCCCTCCTCCTGATTCTTGTTCTTGCTGAGGGAAATCTAAAGTTAGCAGTCCTCCCATCTGTGGCTGTTTGTAGAGACGTCCCTGTGGTAATTTGAAATGCTAATTGCAATCATATGCTTTAGGAAGACAATATTAATCAAATGTGGTTGAAACAGTGTGAATAAAGATGAAGAGTTCATGTAACATGATTATTTAAGGCAGAAGCACTGAGACCTGCTGAGATTTAACCAGAGCACTGGGACAGATCTGCCTCCTTGATCCAGTTTCTGATCGTTCTCCCGCATTAGGAAGACCTGCTTCCTGCTGGATGAGGCCATGGACACCACTGGAACAACAGGACGTGTGTCTCAGAAAGTAGTTGTGGCAGATTCTGGGCTAAGGAGGGTCTGTGCAGGGCTACCTGGGATGGGACAGGCAGGTGCCATGTGCTCCTCACTGGTTATAAAGACTCCAGAGGAGTGGGAGGATCACAGAATCCCAGCCTGGTTTGTGTTGGAAGGGACCTTAAAGCTCCTTCAGTTCCAATCTGCTGCCACGGGCAGGGACACCTTCCACTAGAGCAGGTTGCTCCAAGCCCCTGTGTCCAACCTGGCCTTGAACACTGCCAGGGATGGGGCAGCCACAGCTTCTCTGGGCACCCTGTGCCAGCGCCTCTCAGACAGTTTAAGTTACTTTAAAGCTTGCCAAGGCAATGTGAAGGATGAGGTGTCTGGAGCTCTGGGGGAAGTGGTCTGTACCGAGGAGAGCTCGGGTGGAGGCTGACACCTCCCTGACAGTGGCCTTGTGGCTGTCAGATGGTTCCTGTACCTGCTGGTGACTTCATTTGTCTGCTAATGATGGTGGTGAAGGTGGTCTGACTGCTGTGTCCCTGGAGGCAAGAGGCTGCTTCTCGGTTGCCTGGCTGTGACATGGGACATCCTCTTGGAAATTCCTTCCTGAGTGAGATCTGAGGGATTTGGGAAGGCTCTGCCTGTCCTGGCAGTGTAGCACAGGTCTCAGGCTGGGTGGAGACATTGTGTCAGTAATTCTGTTGTAAGGAAAGAGGATGAAAATGTTTATGTTCTGATGGACTGGGAAGCATCAGAACAAGGGGAGAAAGGCCCCAGTGGACAGGACTGGTGGAGCCTCTGGCTCAGATACATGCACCATGTATCGTCTTTGGGGGAGAGGGCACTGAAGTTTCTTCCTCTCTCTTGAGCAAACTGAGAGCAATGACTGGAGAAACAAAAGGGAGACCGTCCCCTAGGATTGGGAATAGGGGGAAGTGGGATGAAACCCCGTGCTGGGCCTGGGGTGCCTGCTGCTGCTGCCAGTGGGCAGGGGAATGGTCTGCAGGAGAGCAGCAGCTGAGCCACTGCAGTGTTTGTGTCTGTGTTTGTTTCTGCATCCAAACACACCCTCAGGTGGGATTCTGTGTCTTTGTTCAGCTGTCGCTGTGTTCTGTACAGTGGTGGCCAGCATGGGTGCCCTGCTCCAAGGGTGGCTCAGCCGCATCCCTGGTCACTCTCCCACCAAAAGAGATTTCCCAGCACAGAAGCTGTGCAGGCTCCTTGGTAATGTCCCACAGCAGGTTTTGTGTATTGTTTTCAAGGTGGATGTTTCAGGCTGTCCCTGTCACCCCTGGTCTCACAGAATGAGCTGAGGCAGCACATGGGGCTGGGGGAGACCCAGTCACGCAGCAGAGCGGCTGCAGCAACTCACTTCGGTGAAAAGATTTGGGGAAGAGAAATGTTAATTGTGGTGTCTACTGCCTGTGTTTGCAATGCAGGAGACATCCCCAGCCTTTCAAGGGACACAGTTATCAGCACTAGGTCACCCTCTGCTTAAAATGTACTTTTATCAGGTAGCACTAGTGCACCTTAGGTTGTGATGAGCTACTGGGTGCCCTGATTCACCCTGAAGCCTGTCAGTGTTCCTGACACAAAAACCTGGAGCCACACAGCACCCATTTCCTTCAAGTGTGCAGAAATCAGGTGTGCGTGTAAGAAATGCTAAAGCTACAGAATCCCCAAGCAGATCTTTGGTGTGAGACGTGTGCTCTTCCTGCTGGGAACATGCTCCCCCTGCAGTGGTGGCAGGAACCTGTCTGGGGCATAGACCCATCTCCACTGGCTCATGTCTGAGCTCTGGTGTTGGTGTGTGGAGCAGCACAACGAGCCCTCGGTCCTGGTTGGTGCTGCTGGGAGTGTTTGTAGCCTAAGGGAGTGATCACTGGGTGAGCCCCGGTGCCTTGGAGCTGGGCAGTGGGAGATGGTGTTGGGGACAGCAGGACCATCTTCTGGTCTCCATTCCCCTCTAAGCACCTAGAGCTGCTGTGTGAAGGATGTGAGAAGGGATCCCCCTCTCTTGTTTTTGGTATCTGTGCAAAGACCTGTTAAATGCTGAATAGTGCTTGGGAAATCAAGGTGTTTGGGTTTGATGACAATCAGTTTTATTGGAGCTATAAACTTCACACTGTTTGTGCTGCCTGTTGCTGTTCAGGTGAGTTTCCAGGTCCTCTGGTGTGTTTTTCCAAGCAGGTTTAGTATAAACTAACAATAATTCTCTGATCCGCAGTAAAAAAAACACTAAGAAATCGAGAATAAGCCCAACTGTTTTTCCTCCTCATGTTGTAGCAGTTGGTTGTAGTTATGGTGTTAAAGAAAGCGCCGCGGAACAAACTGTGCTGTTGTCCTCAGCGTGGAGCAGATGCTATTGACTGTTCCCTAAAGAAATACTTAATCAAGAATCCGGTTTAAACACGAGGCACTTTCCTCACTGGTGGGCTGAACACCAGGGATTGCTTCAGCAACATGGAGCACGCTTGAGCTCGTGGAACAAGTGTCACACAGACAGGATTTTCTGCCATTTTAACCCCTTCACTTCTAGAGTGTGCAAGAGGAAGGCGGCTGTTTGCTGCCTGCGCACCCTCAGTCCCTGCCCATGGCAATGGGGCTCCGCTGGTGTGTCGGGTGGTACATGGGGCCAGCGATGGGTGCATTCACTGGGCATAGAGTGAGGCTCCTGCTGCCTCTTTTACAGACCCTAAAGTGATGTCTTGGTGCTGGAAGAGGCATTGATTCCACAGTGATTGACACTGACTCCTTGTTCCTTGGGAGCAGGCTGGGGACTGAGGGCTCAGTGTCCCATCCTGCTGCTCACTGCTGTGCTTGGTGTGCACAGCTCTTGAGCCTCTCCAAATTCCACTAATGTGCTGGATTACCAGAGAGAGCAGCAATTGCCCCCTGTGGAGAGGAGAGGGTGTCGCTGTCCCCTGTGGACCAGAGGTGAGACACGTAATTGTCTCCTCTGCGCTAGGAAGAGCTTACCTGTGCCTGCAGGTCCATGTTTCCACTGAGTTGTGAGTGATGTGCAGGGAAGTTTGGATCAGGAGCTCACAGGCTTGTCTTGTGAAGGTCTGCAGGGCTGTTGGGTGGGAGACAGCAACTGTGCTGTCAAGAGCATTCACCAGGGAGCATCTCCCACTGCCAGCGCTTGTGTCCCATTGGGCTGGGCAGCCAGTGCCCACCAGACTAACATGGTCAGTTTGCTGCTGTTGCTGCAGGCTCCAGGACGCCAGCTCACACAGAGGACATGGTTTATTGTGTGACCTGGCTGGAGAGCTGGTATCTGTGTTTGAGTGGTCCCAGTTCACCAAGGGGTCCAGCAGCCACCCTGCCCTGTGCCAGCAGCAGCATTGCCCTCCCAGTTCTCTCCACCTCTCCGAACACTACCTAAACCGGGTGCTTTTTCTCTGTCCCCTCTTCAGATGAGTCAGATTACCAGACCGAGTACGAGGAAGAAGTTCTGGGCATCCAGAAGGATGATTACATCGACTTCGCGCACCACCAGGCTGAGGAAGACTCCGACTCGGTACAAGCTGCCCTGGGAGCTGGCAGTGGCTGTGTCACTGTGTCCCGTGTCAATGATGATGGGGGATGAGGTGGAGGGATACAGAGAGAAGGACCAGGAAGGGGCTTGCTGAGGAGGACTCTGCAGAAATGTGTAATACAGACAGGAAATGGGTGCTCACCCTGGTCAGGTCAGGCCTCTCCAGTGGTGCTGCGTGTGGCAGAACCTGGCCCCACAGCGCCGTGGGTTTGCTCCTGAGGTGGGTCAGGGCTGGAGAGGAGAGGCTGATGGAGCTGCTCCCTCCAGCTCGGAGGAGAGGAGGTGGAGTGAGGCTCTGGCAGAGTATGGGGAAGGCAGCAGCAGAGGTGCACAGTAAAAAGGCAAGAGGTGACAGGCACAGCTCATGCTAAAGGAAATCCTCCTGGATACAAGGGCAGCTATTTCCCTGTGAGCATGGCCAAGAGCTGCAACAGGCTGTGTAGGGAGATGGTAGAAACTCTGTCCCTGCAGATACTTGAAAACTAAACATGCCTTGAAGAGCCAGACCTGGTATTAGAGTTCACCCTGCTTAGACCAGGACATTGTCTTATACCCTCCAGAGGTCCCTTCCAAGTTGGATGGTTCTGTGGGATATCAGGTCCACCCAGAGAAAAACCTGCCTTGTTAAGGTCAGACTTCACACCATGTGGCCCACAGCCCGAGAAGCAAAGCTCAGAAGGGGGAGAGTGTCACACTACACATGATATCCCTGCTTGCTTGAGCGGCCAGCAGGGTTAATAGGTGAAGCTGCCTGTTGTGTTGGGCACGAACAGTTTCTCAGTGGGAGCATGTGAATGGTTTGGAAAGGGACCTTAAAGCTCCTCCAGTTCCACCCCCTGCCACGGGCAGGGACACCTTCCACTAGAGCAGGTTGCTCCAAGCCCCTGTGTCCAACCTGGCCTTGA